AAAATAGAAAAACTGGATGGTACACCGAAGAAGACCATTCTGATATTCCGTATTAAAAACCTACCCAAGCTGCCTCAATGGGGAAAAGAAACACATGCCCTAGAAACCCTTTGGAGATTGACGTATTAACCCATACTTGCTAGCTGGTTGACTTAGATACCTCAATGAGCCTGTGATTCCTAATGAGCAAAATGCAGATAATAATAAGGTCTCAGTTTTCTTAGAAAGACTCTGAGATGATCTGCACTGCTTCCAAACATGCTCTTGGAACCTGGATGAGGTGCATCTATGAAAGTTACTATGAAAGAGACATTGCATAGTTTATTTTTTCTTTCAAGAAAATAAGTTTGAGAAATAAAAATAAATGTAGTTTTGTAAATGTTCAACCATAATGTGAGCTTCTCCAGATCCTATATTTTTTATATTTCCTGAATTAGGCATATAATATTGGCTCAATTAAATAATGGATTAATTAAACCACCATTTTTCCAGGTCTGTCTCAAGTACCATGGGGGGGGGAGCATGGAAGATTATTGTAAGTAGTTTATGAACTTTGTTTTTTAAAATATTGAAACAAAGAATGAAAATATAATTCTCTTTTCTTTTTTTTCTTTTTTTTTTTTTTGAGACAGAGTCTCAGCTCTGTCACCCTGGCTAGAGTAGCGTCAGCCTAGCTCACAGCAACCTCAAACTCCTGGGTTCAAGCAATCATCCTGCCTCTCAAGTAGCTGAGACTACAGGGGCACACCACCATGCTCAGCAATTCTTTTCTATTTTTAGTGGAGATCAGGTCTCACTCTTGCTCAGAGCTGGTCTCTAACTCCTGAGCTCAAGCCATCCTCCCGCTTTGCCCTCCCAGAGTGTGAGAATTTATAGGCGTAAGCCACCACACCCTCTTTTCTATTCTCCAAATCTTTCTGATTAAGTAACTATAAAGTGTCAATTTGATGCTGGCAGATCTTTAAGGCCTCAATAACACTTGTTAATCTATTTTTTTTTAAATTTGTAACAAGGAACAAGTCTCAGGCTCAAAGTAGTGGGCAGCAAACAGCATATAATGTCAATTGAATAATATTTTTATTATTAAATTTATTAATGAATATATTCAATTCAATAAATTCATTTATTATTTATATATTGTTTTATTTTATATTGTTGTATAGGTATCTTCTGTTAATGGTCAGAAGTAGAAATTTTCTACAAAGTTGTCCTTTAAAATATATTGATTGCATTTTCTAAAAAGTATGCTTAAAGAAAAATATTAAGTAAATAATATAGATTGTACCCAGATACAGTAAAAAGAGAAAAGAACCATAAAAGTGGTACTTAAGTGACAAGTTTGAACAATACTGAAAAAAATATTACCAATGTCATAAAACACTGAACGATGATAAAACCTACTATGGCTATAATAGTCAGCCCACTGTATCTGTGGGTTCTGCATTGGTGGATCCAACTCTTGCAGCTCAGAAAACAATACCTCAAAATTAAAGTTTCAGGAGCAGCCTTGGAAGCAAAAGTTTTTCTTTGACCTCCACCATGGCTATTTTAAGACTTTTGTCCTACACAATTATTATTTTTCTTTAATTCATCTCAAAAGTTGTTTATAATCAGCTACAGTTCAAAATTTGCTGCTTCTTTAAGAAAATCCATGTAAACGACTCTGACAAGTACATATTCCTATATGGCTATCTGTACTCTGTTGAACCTATGCGTGAAAACAGACAATTTCCCCTGTATCTTTGGGCCTTCATTCTATGAGCGTACACACAGATGAATGTATACTCATTCTCCTATGTATACATGTTAAATAAGTTTGTATGCCTTTTCTCCAATTAATTTGTCTTTCGTGAGTTGATCTTTTAGCAAACTTTCAGAAAGGGAAGGAGTATTTTCTCTTTGGTCCCTACACAACTATTTGTGGATTGAAAATGTTTGGAAAGAAATCAAAGATAACACAACAATAAAAAAATACAGTTAAAAACAGTATAACAACTATTTACCTAGTGTATACATTGTATTAGGTATTAAAAGTAATATAGAGATAATTTAAAGTATGAAAGAGGGTCTGTGTCAGTTACATGCAAATACCATGCCATTTTATCATAGACCTGGGATTTGATATGAAGGGGGGCCTGGAATCAACTCCCCATGGATACTGACAGACTATTGAATTTTAGCTTATCTTTATAAATTATATATCTATTTATGTTCAGTAAATATATGAATTATACTATATTTATTATTAACTGTAACTGCTATAGGAATTTGGAAGGGGTCAATATTCTGTAATGTGGCAATCTGACAAAGTTTCTTGGAAGGAGTTCAGCCTTGAAAGAAAGTGTTGTGCAGGCCAGGCGTGGTGGCTCACGCCTGTGATGCTAGCACTCTGAGAGGCCTGGGCAGGCGGACCTCTCAAGGTCAAGTGTTCGAAACCAGCCTGAGCAAGAGCGAGACCCCATCTCTACTATAAATTAGAAAGAAATTAATTGACCAACTAATATATATGGAAATAATTAGCCAGGAGTGGTGGCGCAGCTACTTGGGAGGCTGAGGCAGGAGGATTGCTTGAGCCCAGGAGATTGAGGTTGCTGTGAGCTAGGCTGATGCCACGGCACTCACTCTAGCCTGGGCAAGAAAGCGAGACTCTGTCTCAAAAAAAAAAAAGAAAGAAAGAAAAAGAAAGTGTTGCTAAGACTTTAGTTGGTATATTACCAATTAATGTACAATGAATCCCCTCCAAATTTGGCAGCATATTACAGCAAACATTTATTACCTTTCAGAGATTCTGAGGGTCAGGATTGTGAAAGGAGCTCAGCAAGGTGGTGCTGACTCAGGGTCTCTCAGGAGGTTTCAGTCAAGGACTGTGGTCATTTGAAGACTCAGCTGGAACTGAAGCTTCCATGACCCAAGAAGAGGCTCACGCATATGACTGTTGGCTAGAGGCCTCAGTTTCTCACCATGTGGGTATCTCTCAAGGGCTACTCCTGACCAGGGCCTGCCTTCCTTCCTCTAGAGTCAGAGATCCAAGAGAGAGTAAGAGTGATCAAGATGGGATTCCCTTATCTAATCTTGGAAGTGAAAGACCCTCACTTCTGTTGTATTCTGTTGACCAACCCTGGTACAATGTGGGAATAGCTACACAAAGATGTAAACAGCAGAAGGCAAGAGTCAGTTAGTAGCATCTTGAAGGCTGCTTCCCAGGCTGCCCACTGTTCTGTGGGCACAGAACAGTGTGTCTATCAACCCTCACAACCATAGTGTCACCTGAGGAGTTTCAGATATATCAGATGCTCAGGCTCCTCCCGTGATTAATTAAATCAGAATTTTTGGCATGGGAGCTAAGCAATGATACTTTTCCCTGCTAAAGTTTTACCAGTGATTTTGATGCACGATTAAAGCTCAGAACCATTGGATAGAAGAGGAATGAGAAATTGGGAGTATAAACATACTATACTAAGATACTATACTATACGTAGTTATATATATATATATATACATGGGCTATTTGGTAATTACCTTACTTACATGGAAATGTTCTAACAAGGGAAAGTATGAGAGAGTTTTCTCTCTTTGCTTCAGACAAGGGTAGAAATAAGGCTTGAAATCTAAAGAAGTAGCAGGAAACTTAAAATGCAGGCATGGGCACCTTTATCAGATGATTAGGTATGGCTTTAAAGTTTGTGAGGTCCCTGATGCCCCCAACTTGAAACAGATTCATAAAAGTTGATTTTCTCATGGGCATTTGCTTAGTTCGGAGGTTGTGGACAATGGGACTATTCTGAAACAGAAAGCAACTGTTGAGAGTGAAAGTTCTGGATTTCCCATATCTGTAGGTAAGGGTCTAGCTGCTAGAACTTCCCTGGGATTCCTATTGTCCTGACTCAGGCTGGGAATTCTCCTTTCCTCTATTCTTTCTATGAGGTTTAAGCAAAGAAGTAAAATGACATGTATACATGGAATGCCTTGTATATTGTCCCTGTAAAGTCAGGATTGGGATTGAGATAAGCACAGCTGATCACACAAAAACCCACAGCTTTCTACAGCTATAATACTAAGAATTTGAAATACTGGGCAATACTATCCAAAGCCATTGTAATGTCATATAAAGTCCCACACATTCTGGAAGCCCCTTCTCCATATGTTAGCCATCCTCCAGCTAATTCTCTCCTTCCTCAGTTTCAACCACATTACAACTGCCTTGCTTTTCCTTGACTAATATCAGTTATCTCTCCCTCCCACTGCTCCCACCCCAAACACCTCAGGTTCTCTTTACTTGTTCATTCTTTATTCTTTCTACAATTATCTTCCTCAAAGTTCTACTCCCTCATCTCATCTTTCGTTAAATTTCACCTTCTTGATGAACATTCTGTGATTATGTTATTAAAATGAAAAATACAAAGCCATTCTTTCTTTTCTGCTTTTTTAAATCTCCCAAACATTTAATATTATTTGACACTCTCTTTTAATGTATTTGTTTGTTTTTTACCCTAAAAGAAAATAAATTCTGTGAATGCATGACTTTTTGTCTGTATAGTTCACTGTAATATTTCTGGTACCTGGAAGAGTTTCTGGCACATGGCATGTGTTCAACAAGTATCTACTGAAATTAAAAATGAACTGGAAAATAACTATAGTCAACACCATATGGGCTGAACTGTGTGGTTCAGTTTGATAAGTAGTGAAAGTGTCCTAAGCCTTTCAAATGCCAAATAATATATAAAATTCCTCTTTAATATATAAAAATTATATATATATAAAACAATCGCAATTCATAACGTATCCTCACTGATCATTACAACAGTCATATAATTGTGAATTGCTTTTTTCTCCAATTTACAAATATAGACATTGAATTTCAGAGGAGCCAAAATCTTGACTTCTTGAAGTAGTCATATGTTTTAGGAGTTGGCCTCCTAATTTCAAAGCTGGGTACCAGTGTAGGTTACATAGATCAACCATAAAAGAGGAGACCAATAATGTCAGTTAAAAATGTATTCCAAAACAAAAATATTAAATACTAATAGAAGACTATCTAGAAACAAATTACATATCTGAGATTCTTGGGTTTAAAGGAGCCAAAATTGTAAAGATATAGGAAAGACAGGGAGGTCCCAGCTTACACATAGGCAGGGTGTATGTGTATACTAAAGGTTCAAACAGGAAGGAGAAAACTCTGGAGAAACTTCAAAAAAGAAAAACAATTTAAGTTAAAATAATCAGGAAAAGTTTCAGAGGAAGTAAGACTTGGGATTGGCTCTTAAGAACAGACAAGGTTTGGATGGTGGATCAACGTTGACTTTACAGTAGCAGAGAACAGCTGTAAGGTATATTTCAGAAAACAATAATTCTACCTATATAAACCTAATATCCATCTATTTCTTCACTACAACAATAACAGTAGTAATTTCAGATTGAATAATGTTGATCTAGTAAAAAAATGGATTTCGCTCCCGGCCGAGATGTCTGACATGGAGGATGTTTTCATGTGCAATGATGAGGAGGACTACGACCTGGAATACTCTGAAGATAGCAACTCTGAGCCAAATGTGGATTTGGAAAATCAGTACTATAATTCCAAAGCATTAAAAGAAGATGGCCCAAAAGCAGCATTAAGCAGTTTCCAAAAAGTTTTGGAACTTGAAGATGGATTTACTGCAGGAATTCTATGAAACAACACTGGAAGCTTTGAAAGATGCTAAGAATGATAGACTGTGGTTTAAGACAAACACAAAGCTTGGAAAATTATATTTAGAACGAGAGGAATATGGAAAGCTTCAAAAAATTTTACGCCAGTTACATCAGTCCTGCCAGACTGATGATGGAGAAGATGACCTGAAAAAAGGTACCCAGTTATTAGAAATATATGCTTTGGAGATTCAAATGTACACGGCACAGAAAAATAACAAAAAACTTAAAGCACTCTATGAACAGTCATTTCACATCAAGTCTGCCATCCCTCATCCACTGATCATGGGAGTTATCAGAGAATGTGGTGGTAAAATGCACTTGAGAGAAGGTGAATTTGAAAAGGCACACACTGATTTTTTTGAAGCCTTTAAGAATTATGATGAATCAGGAAGTCCAAGACGAACTACTTGCTTAAAATATTTGCTATTAGCAAATATGCTAATGAAATCGGGAATAAATCCATTTGACTCGCAAGAGGCCAAGCCGTACAAAAATGATCCAGAAATTTTAGCAATGACGAATTTAGTAAGTGCCTATCAGAATAATGACATCACTGAATTTGAAAAAATTATGAAAACAAATCACAGCAACATCATGGATGATCCTTTCATAAGAGAACACATTGAAGAGCTTTTGCAAAACATCAGAACACAAGTGCTCATAAAATTAATTAAGCCTTACACAAGAATACATATTCCTTTTATTTCTAAGGAGTTAAACATAGATGTAGCTGATGTGGAGAGCTTGCTGGTGCAGTGCATATTGGATAACACTATTCATGGCCGAATTGATCAAGTCAACCAGCTCCTTGAACTGGATCATCAGAAGAGGGGTGGTGCACAATATACTGCACTAGATAAATGGATCAACCAACTAAATTCTCTCAACCAGGCTGTAGTCAGTAAACTGGCTTAACAAAGAACAAGTTTTTTCAGATGTCCTTAAGGCAACAGTGCAGAGATGTAATCCTTAAAAGAACTGGGAATGGCAAAACTACTGTCGGTTGATGTGTCCTGAAAATTATTGGAGTTATGGCAGAAGTGCTTTTTTGATCAACTGGTTTGTGTTTTGCTGCTGTATTTATCCCAAGAAAAACAGCTTTAATCTCCAGAAGAAAACCAAAATACCATCGGATTTATGCTGTATTGACATCTTGCCCTAAATTTACAACATCATAGTAATTTGTCATGGGCAACATGACCAGAGAGAAGATTTTTGTCATGATTTTAAATACACTGACACGCTACTGTTGGTTAAATTTAAACATGTTTTACCTGCAGAAATTCTCTCACAAATAACCTGCAATAACTTGAAATGCATACCCTTTTGAACACTTCCTTTTCTCATGTATAAATTAAAATGTTTGCTGCATTTTGCAAAATGTCAATTCTCCAGAAATGTGTCCGTATATTTCTGTACCTGCAGTGTAGTAAAGGTTTAGATGAAACCCCATAATTATAGTGGCATACTGTCACTTAGGTTTCAAGCAGCAAAATAAATAGTGCAGCTCAGAAATTGTAAAAAAAAAAAAAAAAAAATGGATTTCTGCAAAGTGTTTCTGATATAGGAGTTGTCCCAATGAAGGGAGGAAAGACCCCCCCTGAATTTGACAAGTGTGTTCTTGGTTTCATGTGGGAAAGAATTAGAGAGCAAGCCAACTAGCAACAGAAAGTTTATTGAAAGAGAGACAGACAATACATCTTACTCAACATATAGAGTAAGGATCCTTTCCTGAGCAAAAGGAGGACCTCTTATTTAGCAATGGTGACATTTTCATGTATTCAAAAACCTGGTTAGGGAATAGCTGTGCATGACCAGCATTGTCTTGAGGCCAGGCCATAAAAGTTAATCACAAACTGCTGTCACAGAAAGTCAAACACAGTTTGTAAGGCATACAGCTTAGTATTAATAATTCATCCATCCTTGGGTGATCCTGGGCTGGCAACATACTGGTGACTTCTTTGTTCAGGGTGGTTAGGGTCTGGCATCAGTCAAAATGGCTGCACTCAGGCTCTCTTGGCCTTCATTTTTTGCCTTAACCCTACATTATTTCCATCAACCTTTTCGAAGCTGGAGGGAAGACAGTTACTGGCTTTGTCTGAAGACTCAGCTCCTTAATTCTTTGATCTTTGCTCTTTGAGGTCATAAATTTGGCCCAAATTTTGTGCTTTTTATTCATTCCAACAGGCCTAAGGCCATTTACCTTTTAATGGGAAAAGATTGGCTAATACCTAGAAAAATAATAAAGGTTTAGGGTTTTAAGATCATATCATCTGATGGTCTGTAGAACACTTGGGGCTTGTATCTCACATTGATTCCTGAGAGGCAAAATGGCTCTCCCAGCCTACACACTGGGAGACCACACTTCTCTCTTGGAGAAAATGCCTTCCCACTACTCTCCCTCCTTTGTGTTTCAAAAAGATTGCCTTTTTATCCAGAATTTTCCTCCTTATTATAGAAAAAAGAGTAACGGAGAAATAGAATGAGATGAAACGTGTAGGTGACTCAGAGAAGAAACTGACCTATATTCTAAACTCTTTTAACCAGGATAAATTTTGACCATGTGAAAATAGTAAACAGACATGCCATTCCTTAAAATGGTGAAACATTCAAGGTGAGTGGAAAACGAAGCAAAAGCAAAATCAAGTTACATCTTAAATTAGAACAACTTCATAGGAAAGGTGTGCAGCTGGGGGAGTGCAGAGTACTTTGATCTACCTGGGACAAAAGTAAAGAAAATAACTATTAATAGTAGAAAAATTCAAGCTGCAGGCATAGCACCTGGATTAGCTAGGAAGGATCCAAATACTCCTCACTGGTGGGAAGAGGTGCTTTAAATTGGTTCTAACTTCTTTCTTTCCTTCCTCCATTTTATCTCAACACCTTGAGGTCATTTTGTGCAAATTAGGCCTAAAATGGAGGTAGCAAGAAAACACATTTCCATCACTTACTTTAAAAAGAAAAATCTAAAGAACATACCACTCAGAATACATATTTATTGAGCTCCCTATAGAGAGGCCTGAAAATGGTGGTACAACCTACAAAACATCCAGCTAATTATTTTCTTTATATTTTAATATTTTTACCGTAAAGGACATTTGAAATTTTCTAGGCACTGATAACTCCACCGGGGAATTATCAGTATTAAATGAGTCTGGATATTAAGTGAAATAAGCACAATAAAACTCCTGTCTTGGGTGTTTGCTGTTTGTAACACATAAAAATTGGTAGCAGATAATCTTAAACACCAGAAGACAACAAGGTATCTTTTGCATAAATAAAGCGTTTATCAAAGGCTTCAGAAAAATGCTGCCTTTGGCTACTTTCAAGGGAGGAACAAAATGAGCGACAGTTCTTTTTGGAAAGTGTGGATGGCTCTGAAAAGAGCCTTTGGGGTGTGGGCAGCTACCGAGGAGCTCACTTGGAGCTGGTGTACTTGGTGACGGCCTTGGTGCCCTCGGACACGGCGTGCTTGGCCAGCTCCCCCGGCAGCAGCAGGCGCACCGCCGTCTGGATCTCCCTGGAGGTGATGGTCGAGCGCTTGTTGTAATGCGCCAGGCGAGAGGCCTCGCCCGCGATGCGCTCGAAGATGTCGTTGACGAAGGAATTCATGATGCCCATGGCCTTCGAGGAGATGCCGGTGTCGGGGTGGACCTGCTTCAGCACCTTGTACACGTACACGGAGTAGCTCTCCTTTCGGCTGCGCTTGCGTTTCTTGCCGTCCTTCTTCTGGACCTTGGTCACTGCTTTCTTGGAGCCCTTCTTTGGGGCCGGGGCCGACTTGGCCGGTTCAGGCATGGTGGAAATTAGCTGCAAATAAAGTAGAGAGAAGCAGAAGAAAGGCTGCGCAAAGCCGTACCCTACGCTCTTTGTTTAAAACTTCTTATGCAAATGACGTGATTAGTAAAATCATGTATGTGATTGGTGGTGACTCTTGATGATGTCAAATATAAATATGTCCAATCAAAATAAACGTATTTAGTAACCGCGATTCCATTGGTTTAAATGAACCTGCACCTTTACCCAATGGCATTGTTTTATTTTCGCGCCAAATATTGACTATAAGTACTGCAGCGTTGGCTTATATACTTCAGGCTTTCAGCAATCGTGACTATTACCATGTCTGGACGCGGCAAACAAGGAGGCAAGGCTCGTGCCAAAGCTAAAACCCGCTCCTCCCGGGCCGGACTTCAGTTCCCCGTAGGCCGTGTACACCGCCTGCTCCGCAAAGGAAACTACTCTGAGCGGGTCGGAGCCGGCGCCCCGGTGTACCTGGCGGCGGTGCTGGAGTACCTGACCGCCGAGATCCTGGAGCTGGCGGGCAACGCGGCTCGCGACAACAAGAAGACGCGCATCATCCCGCGCCACCTGCAGCTGGCCATCCGCAACGACGAGGAGCTCAACAAGCTGCTGGGCAAAGTCACCATCGCTCAGGGCGGCGTCCTGCCCAACATCCAGGCCGTGCTGCTGCCCAAGAAGACCGAGAGCCACCACAAAGCCAAGGGCAAGTAAAGTGCCGACAGCACCGCCCCACGAACCAACGGCTCTTTTCAGAGCCACCTACTATTTCTATGAGGGAGCTGGGTCACTAATAAGACGTCAGTGGATACTGGGGAGAGGAAGTCGGTTCACGTACTAAAACGTGAGTCATAGGAAGGCCAAACGCGCACAAAATTGGACTCTCCCCCATCTTAATCTAGGTGGTGAAGATCTTGCCATATTCCGATTCCTGCAGTGAGTAAAGCTTTAAAAGCGGCAATCATGGTAAGATATAGAAAACTACCATTATAGTTCCTGGCTTAGATTCGAAAGCACCGCTTTGCGTCCTTTGCGCGCCCACCAATCACGTTTCAGAAGGTAAATGACCTCAAACCTCACACGTACCTGAGTGTAGGGAGAAGAAATTCCTCCAAAAATCGGAGGCTGAGATTGAGGTCAAACTGGTACTACTCTGTGAACAGCACTTTTGAGAGCTCTCTGGGTGGCTCTGAAAAGAGCCTTTGGGGCTTTGTTGCGGTATTTACACGCAAACTTCCTACTTCTTTTTGGGCGCCGCCTTCTTGGACTTTGCAGCTTTGGGCTTTGCCGCCTTAGGCTTAGCAGCCTTCGGCTTGGCCGCCTTTGGCTTAACCGCCTTGGGCTTGGCGGGGCTCTTAGCTGCCTTCTTCGGCTTGGCAGTGGCTTTAGCCTTTTTGGGGCTCTTCGCCACTTTCTTGACCCCAGCTGCCGCAGGCTTTTTCGCTTTCTTCGGAGTCTTCTTCACTGCCTTTTTAGCTCCCGCAGTCTTCTTGGGCTTCTTAGGGGTGGCCCCAGCAGGCTTCTTAGCTTTAGCTGCTCCCGCCTTCTTAGCTTTGGGCTTGGCTTCCCCGGAGGCCGCCTTCTTGTTCAGTTTGAAGGAGCCAGACGCGCCGGTGCCCTTGGTCTGCACCAGGGTGCCCTTGCTCACCAAACTTTTGAGGCCCAGTTTGATGCGGCTGTTGTTCTTTTCTACGTCGTAGCCACCAGCTGCTAAGGCCTTCTTAAGCGCAGCCAAAGAAAGGCCATTGCGCTCCTTGGAAGCGGCCACAGCCTTAGTGATCAGCTCAGAGACAGGGGGCCCTGTCGCCTTGCGCTTAGCCGCGCCTGCGCCGGCCGATTTCTTAGTTGCTTTCTTCTTGGCAGGGGATTTCTCCACCTGCGCCGGGGCGGCTGTCTCGGCAGGAGCGGTTTCCGACATGGTGCTAAGAAACTGCTAAAGAAGAAGAGATGCCAAAGAGCAAGTTTTGCAATGCTGCTTTGCTCGGGCCTGGGGCTTATATAAGCCGGCGCTGCCCTGTGATTGGTGGAGCGTCCAATCCACCGCCCTCGGGCCACAGCCGCTCCTGGTTGGACTCTCAAATTGTGTTTGTTAGTCCCTGAAATTTGATTAAATGCTTAAAACAACGGTACAGAATTTTACACTTTGAAGCTCCAAACGAGGAAAACAATCTCCAGGTTCACGTACTTGTTTGTGTTTTCACCAATCGTGAGCAATTGACGAAAGATATTTTTTAAAATCCCTTCAGCTTTTCATAAGAATCTACCCGGCTGAGGGCATCATGCTAGTTAGTTGCATGTTGCAATAAATTTCTACTAAGAATCTAGTGAAAGTTGTTTAAAAAGATTTGTCCCTACGTTCAGCCTTTGATTTTTTCAAGAGGAAAGACACTAGGTTCCTTGGTTTGGACATAAACTTTGTTTCTAACTGTAGCAAGTAACACAGGCACAGAGCTGCTGGTTGCCTACACAGCCCCAAATTAACCACATAGACCTTACTTTGCACACTGGTTCTATCTCCTAGGAGTTTCCAAGGGCTGATATCTTTAAAGAATGAGATTTTGCAGCTTGGAAAGAGTATAGTTGTCAGTGATTTCTTCCACATTGTGGCAGGAGGAATACAAATTGCTTTGACTTCAGAATCTAGCCACCTGGGTTCAAATCCAAACTTAAATTTGGAATACTTTCTGATTGAAGTGCTCTCTTCAGGTCCCCGGGCAAATCCATTAAAATAGGGAAGAAAAATACTTAGCATAGATAATTTGCTTTAGATAAAACTCTCAAACATATTGAAAATTATTCAATGGCTCCCGGTGGCACTCAAATGCACAAACTGTTTAGATGACCTGACCCTATCAGGTTTTCAAAACGTTCTTTCCACTGATCCCACTGAAATCTCCATCAACATTTAATAAGCTGCATGCACCACCACGAATACCCTCTTCTGTAATACATCAATATGGACACATCAATATGAATATTTTTATGTATTAAAGTACAAACAGATTCATATTTTAGAATAACTGGCTACTAACTATAAGAAGGTTGAATTGAGTGTTGAAGCACTGAAGTTTATAGGGGTTCACAAGAACTCAGGACAACATAACTGAGAGAGTGAGGTTGGAATGAAGGGTGAAGTTTGCTGTTTGGGGGAAGGAGGGGAATGGATAGGATTTTGTGCCTGAGTAACAAAGGAGATCAAGGATGATTCAAATCTTTAATGAAATCAACAGTTACTCAGTTCTTGCTCATGAAATGCTGTACTGAAAAGTTTAAAGTAGCCAACACACTTCATCCTCTCTCCAAGAGTTCCTGGAGGGGTTGGCAAACTAGGGTCTAAACTAGACAATGGCCTGTTTTTGTATGTCCCTCAAGCTAACAAATGTCTTACATTTCTAAAGGATTGTAAAAAAACAAAAAGAATAAGTGAGACTATATGTGGCCTCCAAAGCCTAAACTGTTTACTACCTGGTCTGTTTGCTGTGTTTTGAACTTCACACAGACACAGATAATGCTACAGGCCTCTTTTAGAACAATGGAAATTGAGAACTAAAGAAAAGGAGTTCTTCACAAGAAAATGTTCTAACCAAGTACTTTGCACTGTTTCAAACACAAAACTTTCAGAAGATCCAGGGGAAAAAGGCCCCAAATTCCATGCCTAAAGGGGATAGGGCTATGACAATAAGAGCTAACATTCATTAAGCATTTACTAAGTGCAAGTAAACTTAAACATGTTCTGCAGGTTTTTAATTCATTTGTCACATTTATAGCTGGATAAGCTGAGACCCAGAGAAAGAATGAGTAACTTGACAAACGTTATACAGCTAATAACTGGCAGTTCTGGAATTTAAACCTAGACACATGACCTCAGCTCTCTTATGATCAGAGAATACTATAGGGGGTGGGGAGAGAATTATCTTTGAATCTTGGAAGGGTCAGCATGAAGTTGTGTCCTTACACCTAACAGACATCCACTGAAGGAACTCTAAATTAATTGTAAAAGGCTTCTGTCCCCACAGGCCAGAACTGGGGTTTTGTTTGTTTGTTTGTTTGTTTTCTGAGTCAACTCCCAGAGTTTCCAAAAAGCTTTAGAGGAGTTAGTTGTTGGAATATAAGCCTCTTTGTAAGATTGAATCCAAGAATAGGGGAAAGAAGGGAAGGCCCAAAAGGGCTGACCTGCCTGAGAACACTCAGGAGAAAAATTGCCCTCACATAACTCTGCCATCTCCTAGAATCAAGATGTGTACCCAAAAAGGTAAACTGCAAAATGAGGTACTGATAGTGACATATGAAGAGCACATGAGGAAACTTTTATACAGCTGATAATTCCGGATAAAGTAGAAACCAGGAAGAGCTTTAAAATGCCATCTAAGGTTTAATTCTCAGTCTGATTCTCTATTTAAAAAAAAAAAAAATCAAGAATATACAACTTCACAGACTGAGACAAGCACATGGTATAATGACTTGGGCAAATATTTAAGATAGATGTACAGAGGTAGAGGGAGTTCATTTCACAGATGACAGCCTGCAGTAGGTCAAAGTATCCAGGTCTTCAGAGGCCTGCTTCCCACCCACATGCAAACTAACATATGGCTTGCTAAACATTACATTGAAACAGAAAAAAGGTAACAGCCTTTTTATTTGTACAAATTATGGAGTGCAAGTGCCATTTTGTTACACACATAAATTGTATAGTGGTCATGTCATGGTTTTTAGAACACCAGTCATCCCTAGTATATACATTGTGCCCATTTAATTTCTCACCATCCACCCTCTCCCAACTCCACCATTCCAAGTGTCTTATTGTCCATCATTCCACCATGTCTACATTTCTTAGGACCCATGTTAACAGGTTTGTCCACAGAAACTAAGGCCTTATAAGGTCTTTCACTATATAACTGAGAATTTCTCCAAAAACTTACATTCCCTCATTTATCCAAGTAGGATCTTGTTACATCTCCTGGCTGCATTAATAGGATCAGAGGGCTCTGCACTTGGAATGAAATCGCGCTATCACATCACCTCCCTGACTGTAATGCAACCCCTCACGCAGTGCTTAACTGTGGTTTTGCGTTCAGGCAATCTGCATAGAATGAGGCTACAACGTTGTATTTCAGAAGTTAACAGCTACTTTTTGGTGACAACTGAGGGGCTCTGAAAAGAGCCTTTTGAAGTGGGATGCATACTGGCCAACTGGAAGAAAACTTATGCTCTTTCCCCGCGGATGCGGCGCGCAAGCTGGATGTCCTTTGGCATGATGGTGACACGCTTGGCGTGGATGGCGCACAGATTGGTGTCCTCGAAAAGCCCCACCAGGTAGGCCTCGCAGGCCTCCTGCAGCGCCATCACTGCCGAGCTCTGGAAGCGCAGGTCGGTCTTAAAGTCCTGCGCGATTTCCCGAACCAGACGCTGGAATGGCAGCTTCCGGATCAGCAGCTCTGTAGACTTCTGGTAGCGGCGGATCTCGCGCAGGGCCACGGTTCCGGGGCGATAGCGGTGGGGCTTCTTCACGCCGCCGGTGGCCGGCGCGCTCTTGCGAGCCGCCTTAGTGGCGAGCTGCTTGCGCGGCGCCTTCCCGCCAGTGGACTTGCGAGCAGTCTGCTTTGTGCGAGCCATAGCCAAGAAACCCTAGCTATTGGGCGCAAATGAGAAAGAGAGCCGGTCGTCCCGGTATTTATAGCGACCCTCGCGTTCTGATTGGACCATAACTTGCAGCGTTTCTCGTTTCACCCACGGAATTGGTTTCCGCTTTAATCCTCTCAACATCTTTCCCGCCTTCTTAAAGACTTTTTTTTCTCGTTTCACAGAAAAGCCTGGTCTTATTGGGTTTTGAAAAAGCATCTAAATTTCCCATGCATCAAAATTCTATGACTATGAGCTTGAAGATCTCCAATTACCTTTCACTATTTTAAGTAAGGTGTCATGATTGGATTGACAAAATTTGTTGAATAACATGAAAAGGAACTGAAACTGAATTTATTTATTTATTTATTTATTTATTTATTTATTTATTTTGAGACAGAGTCTCACTTTGTTGCCCAGGCTAGAGTGAGTGTCGTGGCGTCAGCCTAGCTCACAGCAACCTCAAACTCCTGGGCTCAAGCAATCCTTCTGCCTCAGCCTCCCAATTAGCTGGGACTACAGGCATGCGCCACCATGCCCAGCTAATTTTTTGTATATATATTTTTACTTGGTCAATTAATTTCTTTCTATTTTTTGGTAGTGACAGGGGTCTCGCTCAGGCTGGTTTCGAACTCCTGACCTTTAGCAATACGCCCGCCTCTGCCTCCCAGAGTGCTAGGATAGGCGTGAGCCACCAAGCCCGGTCTGAGACTGGATTATTTTTAAATGGAGGCAAGGAAGGAGTGAAATTCGAGCCATATCCTAATGACAGTACTTGTCCAACGCACTTTAGGCCAAATATTTTTATGTCTAAAGGGCCGGACAACTTTTTCTGTACGTCATATTTAACTATGTCAGGTATTGAGGACCACAGTGTTGTAGCTACTCAGTCCTCGAGGTTGACGGGAAAGTAAGCGATACAAGCTAAAAGAGCCTATCACTGCAACTTTTGCAAGAATTGGAGGCCTTAGATTTGACGGTCTGTCGTAGAAGCTGCCACCCCTTAATCAGTAGACAGCAATGCTGAAAGGGACACAACGTTACATTCAACTTGACAACTGCTTAGAAGTTACACCACATAAGATCTTTAGTACATTTTCTGGAACTGAGAAAAGGTTAGCTATTAGAAGTCAAGGAATTTAAAAATGCCTACAGCTCTTTTGAAAGACTCAGTGGGTGGCTCTAAAAAGAGCCTTTGCAAAATGGAGTTACCAAGGGAAACACTAGCCGCCAAAGCCATAGAGAGTGCGACCCTGGCGCTTGAGCGCGTAAACCACATCCATGGCGGTGACAGTCTTACGTTTGGCGTGCTCCGTGTAGGTCACGGCATCACGTATCACATTCTCCAGAAAAACCTTAAGAACTCCTCGCGTTTCCTCATAGATGAGGCCGGAGATACGCTTAACGCCTCCACGACGAGCTAGGCGGCGGATGGCAGGCTTGGTGATACCCTGGATGTTATCCCGCAAAACCTTGCGGTGGCGCTTAGCGCCGCCTTTGCCTAAACCCTTCCCGCCCTTGCCACGACCAGACATGTCTCCGATTCAAAGAACCTCAGGGTGGCTAACCGCGGAGGCAGTGGCTTATATAATACTGAATCGGACCTGATTGAAAACTCTCCATACCCCTGTGTCCGCTCCGTTGGTTCTCAGACCTGGAGCCCTGCCCACCATTCGGGAAAAATGGAAAGGGCGGTGCTTAAGCTCCAGAATCTAAAAAGATGCTTAAAGATGACTCAGTCCATCTTCTCCTACAGTGTTTTGTGCTGCCCACCGCGGCAAGACTATTCCTTTATCTGGGTACGGGCTTGCAGTGTTTTTCCTTGGTCACCTCTTAGCATTGATTGATTTATTGCCCTGTGGCTGCTGGAATCGAGAGCCCCATCTCTTCAGGGATGACTACAGAAATTTCGGACATTTGTGAAACTGCCAAGTACGCAAACTACTTCTGTCTAATCTCAGTGTGATCAACCTGAGGAGTGGCTGACTGCAATGAACGCCACCTGGTTATAGTTTCAAGGTGGGCTTCCTCACTTTTCTCTAATTTGGTTCTCTACACGTTTCCTTACCTTTTACTCTTCCTGTCTCCTTTTTGTTCCTTTCCTTTCCCTCCCTCGCGGCCACATTGATTCCCTCCTTGTTTTACCTACCCTAATTCCCTACCCTAATTCTTTTTGCAATTATGTAACGGAATCCAAGCTGGTACCACTTGCCACAGGACAGTCAATAAAACACGGTGCTGGGGCAAGGAAAGTGACTTTCATTCCGAGAGCCAGCAAACTGAGAAGATGGCAGCCTTATGTCCTAAAGAACCATCTTAAGTTAGTATGAACTTCAAATTATTTTATATGTTAGCGGAATGAGAAGGGCGATGTTGCAAGAAGTAACAAAAGGACCACAGACATCTGGGTGCCTGTGAGAGTCTGAGGAGGTTGTAAAATTCATTTGCTCTTGGTCAGCTAACTTTGGAGGGGATAGACTTTCAGATCATGATGTTCCTATAAATTTTTAACACAGCATTGTTACTTGTGTGTATACTTTTCTTATCTTAGTTTTGAGAAAGGGAAGGTTATCATCTTTCTTTTAGAGTTGAACTCTATAAACTAATTTTTTCTATAATTATCTGACCTACATGTAGAGCTAAGCAGAAGCTTTTAACCTAAAGGATATTATTGCTTTTAGGATCAGAAGGAAAATGGAGCCAGTCATACTAAGCCTTCCTTCTACTACATACTACCATTTATGTGTAGGGGAAGAAAAAGTAATTTTCTCTCTACCATTTCTGAGTTCTTAGCTGGGAACCCATGTGACAAAAGACAGAGAAAAACAGACAGAAGTTTATTATATTATATACTATACTTCATATATATGTGGGAAATACTCAGGAAAATGTGTAAGTCTCATGGAGGTGGCTTACAATTCAAACTTAAATACCATCTTCAGCTGGAATAAAGAAGGATGTTGCAGGAGCAGTCAGGGTGACCAGGAAAAGCTTGGTAAACAAAGGTAAGGTTTTTGCATGCAGATTTAAATCAGTGGCTTTTTCAAGGATTAGAGGTCCCTTGATTTAGAGTCATTCTTCTCTTCCGGTTCACAGAGGGAGACACTTACAAATGGAGATTTTCTTTATAGATGTAAATTTCCCTTATAAAAGAGTGACTTCAGGTTTCTGAGTTTCTCTTGTATCTGCAGTTCTTCAAAATAATCCTTATTATATACCCACAATTAAAAATAAAAAAATAAACAGAAATCCTTATGCAAAAAAGTATTGGGGTTCAGAAAATGATACCCCAAAATGAAGGCCTCAGAAGCAAAAAGATTTTTTCTAACCTCCTGCCCTCCTGTCTCTGGCCCCTTATTCTCCCCCAAGGCTGGCCAAAGGAACTCGACTCCCTCTTCAAGTTGAAACCACATTAAAAAGAATTCTGAACCAAATATGGTTATAATTAAGCATTAATCAGGCTATACTTTGGCACTTTCCTTGTAAGGGAAAATCAAGTAGCACTAGATGCTGAGCATTTGTCTCTCCATTGTTGCTACACAGATTTCAGAAGTTGGAACCATAAAGACTTAAGAATTAATTTGCATTCCCATTGTTCTTGTAAATGGAATCTCTGCCCTTAAATCGTTAGGTTTTTGTTTAAGAATTGCTGAAGATCCTGAATTGCTGCAGAACAGCTGATGCCAAACAGTTTGTAGACCCCCATCTGAGGAACCCAATCTACTTGAGAATGCAGTTTCTTCATCTCCCTGTCCCATGACCTCTCTGCTGTCTTCAACCAATCAGTGATCTTCACATTTCAGCCCACCCAACTCTTTAAAATCCTGAGCCCCAAACTCGGGGAGGCAGATTTGAGGTTTCCTTTCTTCTCCTTTGGCAGCTATATTATTAAACCTCCTTCTCTGCAGCAACCTATAATATCACTGGATTGACTTGCCATGGGAATCTGGCAAGGAACCTATTACAGTTACAAAGTGGGTCATTGTTGGGAACCGAGGCCTTTGAAGTTCTTAACCCAGAAATACCCTGAGCAGAAAATACCCTGAGTTGCCAAAAAGTGCTTAAGGACCATTCCAGGAAAAAACTGCAAGATATTCCAGGCTTGCTGCCTGAGGCTGTTTGTAATTGATCAACCCTAACCCCCACCCCCCTCCCTACTTCATTGTTTCTGTATGCTTAGAAAACCAACAAAGGATCTAAGTAAAGCAGACCTTGACAACCCTTTGGTTGGTCTCATTCCTTTCTCTCGCCCATCTCTTTCAGGCAAGGTCCCCCTTGACCCCCGCGAGTAACAGAAGGTCCCGCGGGTCTGGACAGGTCATGAAAACCATAATTCCTTTTTCCCAAAGCCAGCCATAAAAATAAAACCTTGTGAACTAAAATAAAATCTTAAGCCTCACCCCCGCCCCCACTGGCTGAATGAATGGACCACCTCTTGGCCAAAGGAATATCCTAAAACTAAATTGCCTGCCACAAGGAGGGAGATCAGACATGCCTCATCATTCCTCCCTCCCTTCTTGGAGACATCCTTTGTGACTCTTTAAAGGTCAAAGGCTATGCTAGAGGAACCTGCTGGTCCTCAATTTACACAACAAATTTCCTGTGGCTTATCTCTGATAAATAGCTCCTTATGTTCAAACATTCCAAGCCTTTACACCAGGGGTCCTCAAACTTTTTAAACAGGGGGTCAGTTCACTGTCCCTCAGACCATTGGAGAGCCGGACTATAGTTTTAAAAAAACTATGAACAGGCCGGGCGCAGTGGCTCACGCCTATAATCCTAGCACTCTGGGAAGCCGGGCGGATGGCTCAAGGTCAGGAGTTCGAAACCAACTTGAGTGAGACCCCTGTCTCTACTAAAAATAGAAAGAAATGAATCGACCAACTAAAAATATATATACAAAAAATTAGCTGGGCATGGTAGCACATGCCTGTAGTCCCAGCTACTCGGGAGGCTGAGGCAGAAGGATCACTTGAGCCCAGGAGATTGAGGTTGCTGTGAGCTAGGCTGATGTCACTGCACTCACTCTAGTCTGGACAACAAAGTGTGACTCTGTCTCAAAAAAAAACTATGAACAAATTCCTATGCACACTGCACATATCTTATTTTTAAGTAAAAAAACAAATGGGCAAAAACACCCACATGTGGCCTGTGGGCCATAGTTTGAGGATGCCAGCTTTAGACAAAGCTTCATGTCTTTAACCAATTACAAGTCAAAGAATCTTTAAACCCACCTATAACCTATAAGCTCCCCCTTCAAGATGGCCCATCTGTTTGGGCCAAGCCAATGTGTGCCTCTCACATATTAATTTATAACTTTACCTGTAACCCCTGTCTCCCTGAAATGTATAAACCCAACTGTAACCAATCACAGCAAGTCTACTTGCTAGAGCCTTCTTGGGCGTGGCTCTGGGTCGTGATCCTCAAATTTGGCTCAGAATAAATCTCTTTAAAATTATTTTACAGAGTTTGGCTTTTTTTTTTAATTGAAAACCTAAAAATATTACTCTAACTTTCCCTCTGCCTTTTAGTGCCATTTATAGTGAGAAATTATCTGGCCTACCTTGTTTGTGAGTCATAAGACTCCCATTCCAGAGAAGGCCTGGCCTCACACTCAAAAGGAAGGAATGCTGCACAGAAAGGCCAAGCTAAATCTAGATAGGCCTTGCTGAGTTTGCCCCACTTGGTCTATTAGCTTTAGATCACATCCTTTTTGTCCAATCATGTTTCTGCACGGCTGTCTATACTTTGTTGAACCTAAGCATAACACTAGATGGTTTTCCCCAGTATCTTTGGGTTGAAGGAGCTCAGGGAAGTTCACCCCAAAGTATGGCTTACTGGTTTAATGAGTATTTTCAATTAAAGGACTTTAGAGATCAACAGAGGCTGAAAGAGTCTTTTCTCCTCTCTACATAATGACCTGACAGATCCACCAAGGAGAACAACTGTTTTTCCTTCCCCAAAATAGAAAGCTCATTATCTCATGTTATATCATTATCTATTGCAGTAGAGAAGACCAAGAATGTAACCACACCTGAACAGATCCTTTAATAAGATATGTCTCCTAGCCTCATTCAGTTTCCCAAGAGAAACATTTATAAGCTAATCTATTCCCTGATTCATTCATTCTTCCTAGTAATTATGTATTACGTCTCAACAGTTTACTCATTTTTCTTCTGAAATAAGATATAATAAGGACCAAGGCTGACAAATCACTGACAAGGTGCAGATTAGTTGGAGAAAAGGCATATAAATTAATTTAATGTGTATATATAAGAGCCTTCAGAAAGATACATGGGAAATTGTACATTTTTATACTTAAGGATAATAAAGTATGCACAGCCATGTAGAAATATGATTAGACAAAACAGGTATGACCTAATGTTAATATACTGAGTGGGGAAAGCCAGGAAGGCCTGGCTATCTAGGATCTTCTTGACTTTTCTGAGCATGCATTCCTTCCTTCTCGATGTGGAGCAGGAACCTCTCTGGAATGAGGGTCTTACGACCTACAGTCAAACAAGGTAAGTGAGATAATTTCTTAATGGCCAGTTTTTACATAGAATATTTTTAGGTTCCATGGCTGGCTTTTGTTACTGAAACTTTGGCACTGTCCTTGAGGCCACATCAGAAGAACAAGGACAAGTGGTTTGAGAAGAAGGAAAGAATATATTAATTTGCCTGCAAATGAAGAGGTTGGCAGACTCCCATGTCAAAGTACCACTATCCCCCACCTGAGCAGAAGTACAGAGCTTTTAAAGGTTCTGATCAATCTCATCTTTGGCTAAAACAATCTCATGACCTCTGTTCAGATTCATCCCTATCTTCAGTTAAGATAATATGGAGACCTCCACCAGGATAAATCCCATCTTCAGCTAAGATGATCTTGTGCCCTCCACCCAGACAATTCCCTGGAGCCTTCGTCTATGGCACAAAGAAAAAAAAAACATTCCTCCGTCCCTCCCAACCACTGGCCTGAGGCAAGGATGCAGGGCCTAGTTCTCCAAAAGGAGTGGGGGATGTTTTAAAGAGACATAAAACATTTTTGCCATTTTTCAAGCCATTTCTTCTGTTACATATTCCCCCCTTCCATATCTATGGGAGGAGGGGTGACTACTCTGTTACACTTTCAAGAAAAGGGGTTCTGGTTTCTATGATCAACTACCAGAATAGGGATTCTAGTTTCCATGGCTAGGCTTGAGGGAGAATGGGACTGAGAGACAGGAAGAAAAGGTCAGAGAAAAACTTTTGCTTCTGAGGCTTCTATTTGTAAGGCTGGTGGCGGGCCCCCTCCCTTCTCTAGATCAAAAAGGAAAAGGCTCATGAGACCAGACCCCGTTGAGAGGAACCACACCCAGATGTCCACCTGGATAAGAACATTTAGGCTCTTGGATTCCACAAATACCTCCAGCCCCTCCTAAAATCCCCAGCTCTTCTGGCCAAAAGTCCCTAGCCAGGCCCAAAGGGTATAAAAGGCCTCAGCCCCTTCAAACAGGGGCACCTTCTGGGGCCCCCCCTCTCTTGGGGCCCCAGAACCTCATCCTCAAGTGTATAATAAAGCCACATGGTTTGGGACCCACTCCTTTCTGTCTATCTTTCTTGTCGCCGCCGAAAAACCTTACACTACTGAGGCCATCATTTTGGGGTACTGTTTTCTGAGCCCCAACAAAAGCAATCTCTTGAGGAAAGTAAAGTACCTATTTCATAGAAAAACTTCCCTTAATACTCTTAAAGAAAATGGCATTTGAAATAACCTATAATCCAATTAATTTTTACTTATTGGATTACTTATTGTTACTTATTGCCACCCTAAAGTATATCATCTTGGGATATTGAATAATTAAGCTGAAGGAATTTGAGAAACAGCATGTACAGGATGGACTTTCTACCTTTCCTTGAAGCAGGTCATATGACCCTCAAGTGAGAGGTGCCCTCTCTATCCCCAGAGAAAAGGAATGAGGAGCATCTTTATCTTTGAAGACAAAGGACACAGAGAGGAGTATGAATGAACAGGCCTTGCTAAGTGTCCCCCAGCTTGCTTATACTGTTTGTCTTATCACATTTCTCCAATACTCTCCACTCTTCATGAAATCTATTATAAAAACTCTGAGGTTTAACCTCTCCTGTAGGTCTTCATTTCCTTATGAAGGCTCCTATGTCACATAAAAATTATGTGAAATAAATTTCTCACATTAATCTGTCTTTTGTTACCAGAGCCCCCACCAAAAAACTTAAGATGAGTAGAAAGAAGATACTTATCCTCCCCAACATTAGTATAAACTGATGTGGGGTCTGGAAAAGGGAGAGTCACAGAATATTGATTTGTAATGGTTTATGTAACAAATATAATATATCTGACCAGTGGAGATGGTACCTCTGATCAGTAGAAATTTTCTGAAAACTAGACATAGCTGCTGAGAGAGAGAAAAAGATTCAGCTCTAATCTCTAGGCTAGCATGCATTAACACCAAACTCCCCCAAGACTTCCTGTTTATGAAATAGCTGTGTTCTTATTACGTTTTCTAATTCCTTACTACCTACAATTTTCTTAATTTTCTTAATAATCAAGTTTGATGATAGCTGGGCACAGTGGCCCACTCCTGTAATCCCAGCTCCTTGGGAGGCTGAGGCAGGAAGAACCCTTGAACCCAGGAGTTGGAGGCTGCAGTGAGCTATGATCATCCCACTGCACTCCAGCCTGGGTGACAGAGCAAGACCCATCTCTAAAAAAATAAATAGTTGGGGGGTGTTGGAGAGTGTGGGCAGTGGCTAATGCCTGTAATGCTAGCACTCTGGGAGGCCCAGTCTGGGGATGATCTCTTGAGCTCAGGAATTTGAGATCAGCCTGAGCAAGAGACCCATCTCTACTAAAAATAGAAAAAATTAGCTGGATGTGGTAGCACGTGCCAGGTAGTCCCAACTACTCAGGAGGCTGAGACAGGAGGATCACTTGAGCCCAGGAAATTGAGGTTGCTATAAGCTAGGCTGACACCAGGGTGCTCTAGCCAGGAAGACAAAGCAAGATTCTGCCTCAAACATACGTACATACATAAAGTTTGATAATATTAAATAACTGTGAAAAAACTTTATAAAGTAAAGTGCTAATTGTTACCTATTCTAGTGGGAAATAGTAAGTTAAAAAAACAGAATATTGGTTTATAAATCAATATCTGTTGTAATAATACAAAAATTGATTCCTTGAAGTCTTATCCATTGCTAGGTTGAACTGAAGGAAAAAAAAAGTTTTTTTCCAAAGCTGATAGCCAGAGGTGACCATACCAGGTGGTTATCAATAGCTTCATCCTCTTTCTAAATCCTTAGCAGCACTAAGCTCTGGTTTCCAGCTTCTCTGGATAGCAACAAAAATAAATCCTGCTGATTTCTGAGCGATGACAGGCAAGTTCCTGGAAGTCCAGACTTCCCTGTGGTGAGGTGCAGAGTGTGGGATATGATCATCTCATTTAGACTAGTGTAGTCTAGTGGATGACTCCAAACTCTTCTTGTTTTTCCAATTGCATCAAGAATTTACTGCTGTGTAACAAATCGTCCAAGAAGTTAGCAGCTTAAAACAACAAATTCATTATCTCACACATTTTCTAAAGGTCAGGAATCAAGAGTGGCATAGTTGCATGGTTCTGGCTCAGGGTCTCTGGGAATGAAGAACCTAGCTGTCAGCAGGGGCAACAGTCATTTGAGGCTTCACTGGGGCATATATCACTCACCTGACTGTTGGTTGCTCTTTCTGACTGTTGAGGAAGGCCTTAATTTCTTACAAGGCAGGCCTCTCCACAGGGCCACCCGAATGTCCTCCCAACATAGCAGCTGAGGTCCCCCAGAGCACAATACTTTTTATGAACTAGACTCCAAAGTACCTCACTCTCACTTTATGCCATCTGCTCTATTCTATTCAATAGAATCCAGTCTCTCAATCGTGCCTACACTCAAGAGTAGAGGAATTATCCTCAAACTTTTTAAATGGAAAAAATAAATAAATAAATAAATAAATAAAAAAAAAGAGTAGAGGAATTAGGCTACCTTTTGATAGGAAGAGTGACAAAGAACTTTTCTAAGCCCACCAATTCTATGCCCAAATTTAGGCTTCAAATAGAAAATGTCCCCTCCAGTCCATACAGCTAAAATATCAGCTCTCAGAGGACTGAAACCTCAGTAGATGTCCTTGCTAGAAGACTTGGGAAGACATTAGAACAACCTAACTTCTGCCTTTCCACCTAAAGGAAATTAGGCCCCAGTTTTCTTTTAAACTACATCATTTTTATATAGCCATTGGAAGCTTATCCACAACTCTTCCTTCCCATCTAGGGATTCTTGAAAGAATCCTAAACTTAGATCTACTAGCTTAGGTTTGTTTGTCCCCCACTGCTTGAGTACCTTTGGAAAAGACAAACTTTCTACAGTTACTAAAATGGAGTAACATGCCCTATCTACCCTGGGAGCTATTGTCAGGTGCACATACAAAAACATGTGAAAATGAGGGCCAATATCATATTTACTTACCATAGGACTAAAAATAGTGATGCAGGTGTGATATGCTTAATAACTATCCAAGGCTCCGTGATTTTGTGACTGAAAAGCAGCAAATTAGGGCTGGGCGCGGTAGCTCACACCTGTAATCCTAGCACTCTGGGAGGCCGAGACTGGCGAACCGCTCAAGGTCGGAAGTTCGAAACCAGCCTGAGCGAGACACTCGCTCTACTAAAAACAGAAATTAGCTGGACAACTGGAAACACACACACATATATTAAAAATTAGCTGGGCATGGTGGAACATGCCTGTGAGACTGTCTCAAAAAAAAAAAAATCCAGCAAATTAGCAATACACTTTTCCAGCTAGAATTTACTGAGCACTTATGTACTACTACGTCTATTTCGAGCAGGTAAACAAAAGTCCAGCTCTTGTATTCCCCAAGCTAGATTTTAGAATTGTATATTAAAGACCTAACTGCGTAACAGCCACTCTCAATGAGCACATGAATGGCTCTGAAAAGAGCCTTTGGGAAAGAGAAAGCAAGCAAGCCCCGCCCCAGGACAGCTTACGCTCGCTCGCCACGGATGCGGCGCGCGAGTTGGATGTCCTTGGGCATGATAGTCACTCGCTTGGCGTGGATGGCGCACAGATTGGTGTCCTCGAACAGGCCCACCAGGTAGGCCTCGCAGGCCTCCTGCAGCGCCATCACTGCCGAGCTTTGGAAACGCAGATCCGTCTTGAAGTCCTGCGCGATCTCACGCACCAGGCGCTGGAAAGGCAGTTTGCGGATCAGCAGTTCGGTCGACTTCTGGTAGCGGCGGATCTCGCGCAGGGCTACGGTGCCAGGCCGGTAGCGGTGGGGCTTCTTCACGCCGCCGGTGGCCGGTGCGCTCTTGCGGGCCGCCTTGGTGGCCAGCTGCTTGCGCGGCGCCTTCCCGCCGGTGGACTTGCGAGCAGTCTGCTTTGTGCGAGCCATCTCCAACACCGGTGCTTCCAAAGCAAGCAACTGGAGAAATACTGGCACGACCAGAATTTATACCAATGATCTGATCCTGATTGGTCAGAACTGTGGTAGGAGTAACCTGATTGGTTTTTAATACAATCTCTGTTTTGTTCCTACCACTTCCTCTGAACGGTTCCCCCACACCCCTTGCTGTTAATTTTTACTGTTTGTTTTCGACTAATCAAGTTAAGATTACCCCAATGAAAAGGGAATCTGACCTGGAACTTTAGGAAATCAGCCTTAACTGTTCTTGAAGACACTCATTTTCATAGGAGCCTTTTCCTGTTTTAGATAATGTCAAAAAAAAGTACACTAGAATTATTTGTTAATCTTTCTAAAAAGTAGTTCCGTTTCCTGTTTCATTAAATCTGCTTTTAATAACTACGAAGACCCAGAAAAATAGTTTAAAAATAGATTGGCACATTGGCCCCGGAACACCAGTAGTTTAGTTTGCTCAGCTTTGTGTGGGTAAGGAGTTTGGTATGTGCTTGACTAAATGATACCCATGAATAGTATCTGATATCTTCATTAACTGATTTTGATGCAATCAAATGGCTTATTGCACTATTAAACATGTAAATCACGTGCTTGATTTAATCAGCATGTGGAGAGTGATTATGAGTTTACATCGGTCAATTATTAGGTCTTTTCCAGTAAATGTGGGTAGCTCTGGAAACAGCGTTTTGAATTAGGAGTGAGATTTTAGTTGATTAAGGGACTATCAGGTCCTGCTGTAAAGACCCAGAAAAGCTAAAAAAATGTTGATATATACAACTTAATATTTTCGCGGGAATAATCACCGGAAGTGGTTTTAATGACCCAGGACGGTGTTTGTGGGGAGGGGACGATAGAGGTTGGCTTCATGGTATTATAATTAATTTAGCAAGCTACAAATTTAATGGCCTTTACCAGGTATCAGTTAATATCAATCCAAATGTGAAACTATTATTTCACGTGCTTAAATTTAGCCAGGCATTCATGATAGGTTTAGAGAACAGTGCTCAGTTCTTCCGCAGAAATGGTGGGTGGCTTTGAAAAGAGCTTCTGGTTTTAGTGAGAAAATTTTTTTTTTTTTTGAGACAGAGTCTCACTTTGTTGCCCAGGCTAGAGTGAGTGCCGTGGCGTCAGCCTAGCTCACAGCAACCTCAATCTCCTGGGCTCGCGTGATCCTTCTGCCTCAGCCTCCCGGGTAGCTGGGACTACAGGCATGCGCCACCATGCCCGGCTAATTTTTTTTATATATATATCAGTTGGCCAATTAATTTCTTTCTATTTATAGTAGAGACGGGGTCTCGCTCTTGCTCAGGCTGGTTTTGAACTCCTGACCTTGAGCAATCCGCCCGCCTCGGCCTCCCAAGAGCTAGGATTACAGGCGTGAGCCACAGCGCCCGGCCTTAGTGAGAAATTTTAAGTTGTTGTGAATTCAGACCTCATTTGCCCTTAGCCTTCTGGTGACTCTCGGTCTTCTTGGGCAGCAGCACGGCCTGGATGTTGGGCAGGACGCCGCCCTGAGCGATGGTGACTTTGCCCAGCAGCTTGTTGAGCTCCTCGTCGTTGCGGATGGCCAGCTGCAGGTGGCGCGGGATGATGCGCGTCTTCTTGTTGTCGCGAGCCGCGTTGCCCGCCAGCTCCAGGATCTCGGCGGTCAGGTACTCCAGCACCGCCGCCAGGTACACCGGGGCGCCGGCTCCGACCCGCTCGGCATAGTTGCCCTTGCGGAGCAAGCGGTGCACCCGGCCCACGGGGAACTGGAGTCCGGCCCGGGAAGAGCGGGTCTTGGCTTTGGCGCGAGTCTTACCGCCCTGCTTGCCGCGTCCAGACATTATAGGAGTTCCTGTGACTTACACAAGAAATATCTCAAAGCACAAAAACGCACATTTTATAGCCGTTGCTGACCGCGAAAAATGAGTTGGGCCACCGGCTAAACTTGCAGTTCCGTTTTAAACGAGGCAAATAAGGTTTCTTAAAGTATGTGTTTTGATTGGACAATATTGATATTAACGTCATCACGAGTGATGTCCAATCAGACAGAGGACTTTACTCAACCTCATTTGCATGTGAGCTATATATAAAAGGGGCTCCTCCTGCCTAAATCTTGCGCTTTTCTCTGTCAAGTACTTTTTCTTAAGTGCTTTGGCTCCTCTGCACCATGCCTGAGCCGGCTAAATCTGCTCCGGCCTCAAAAAAGGGCTCTAAGAAAGCCGTGACCAAGGCTCAGAAAAAAGATGGCAAGAAGCGCAAGCGCAGCCGCAAGGAGAGCTATTCTATCTACGTGTATAAGGTGCTGAAGCAGGTCCACCCGGACACCGGCATCTCCTCGAAGGCCATGGGCATCATGAATTCCTTCGTCAACGACATCTTCGAGCGCATCGCGGGCGAGGCCTCTCGCCTGGCGCATTACAACAAGCGCTCGACCATCACCTCCAGGGAGATCCAGACGGCGGTGCGCCTGCTGCTGCCGGGAGAGCTGGCCAAGCACGCCGTGTCCGAGGGCACCAAGGCCGTCACCAAGTACACCAGCTCCAAGTGAGCTCGCTCACAGCCTCTCACACCCCAAAGGCTCTTTTCAGAGCCACCCACATTTTCAGACAAAAGAGCTAATGCATTTTGCCTGTAGTCTAGTTTCTTCGGGGAGGGCTTGGCGTTTGGGAGAGAAGGTAACCCGAAAGGGTAAAAGTAACAGAAATAAAAAGGCACGCATTCTTGGATATGTATTTAGACGCCCTATCAAATTTAGTTTGGGTTCTTTGATGCCCTTGGGGAAAAGAGGCATGTAATTTTGCTCTCAGCTACAATAGCCAAATTTCTCTTTGGGTTAGACTTTTGCCAGTGCATGCACCCCCTCCTTGTAACTGATTGGGCCGCAGATCTATTTGAAATTCCCGCCAGGGGCCGCCATTTGCCAGATAGTCTCACCCGGGTTGTGCTTTTGAAAGAGTTTCTGTGGAAAGTAAAATTGTGAATTTTCCGTTATATGCGGGAATGCCTCAGGCTCTGCAGCTAAGAGCCAGAGGCTATAAATTAACCGATTTTCTGCAGTCAGACCCTGGGCGAAATTAACTTCTCAGTGTCCCTTTCCCATAACCTCTAGAGAATAGGCACTGACTGTCAACCCTGCCAACTCCACAGAGATATTAGGGTGAGTTGAAATGATTGGTGTCAAAGCGCAAAGGGAACATTAAAGGTAAAAAAAAGCTACTGAAGGATAAAATGTTGAACAAGGAACCCAGCAATTTGGGAAAGCTGCCTTCTTGCAATGTAATCAGGCGGCCTTAAGGAGGAAGATATGGCAGGATTCATTGCGGCAGTGGGGGCAGCTTTCAGGCTGGGATTCCATGATTAGGAATCCTGCAACAGAAATCGGAGAATCCAGCATTTAAAAAGAAGCAGACCCCAGAAAAGGTTACAGAGGTAGGAGGTGTACCAAGAACAGGGGCTAGCTAGGAATACAAGGAAGTAGAAACTTTCAACACATGATCGAAAGTCCTTCAATTCCCCCTTCTCAATAGCTCTGTTGAAAACCAGCGGATCAAGGGGACTCAGACATCAGAATCCAATCAGCCAAATCAGTTTATTAATACCTGAGCAGGGGCTGTCACCACTCCATGCAAGGAGGGAGAAGCAGCCCAGAACAAAGATTTTGCTGTCCTTTTATACCTTAGTGGTGCAAGCAAGTGGTTACAGAAGTGGAGCTTAGCAGTTAGCTGTTGTTTGTTGCAAGCAAGCAACCATGGAGAAGTACACAAGCAACCATGGAGAAGTACACAAGAGCTTTTCGAGAACAGACCCTTCTTCCCCTCTACCCACCACCCTCCACTATACTTCCTCTAGGGACTTACCACTAGCAGTTATTCTTAGAGCAAGAGGGAAGCCATCTTAAGCCTGTCTGCGTAGGTCTGTCTGCGGGTCAGGCTCGTTTTAGTGGCCTGGCTATTGACTAATTCAGCTCCTTTCTTGCATTTTATAGCATTAACATCCTCTGCCACCACGTTATCCCCTCTCCAGTAAATTATTGCTATTGTAAATCTTTTTTTCTATTAACAACAAAATAACAAGCCCCTACACCAGAGGCCTACTCCAGGCCTAAAAATCACCCGTTAACTTTTTCCTTTTTCTTTCCTTGTCATCACTTCACTTACAGCTGTGATTTGGGGCTCTCTACCTCTGAGGAACAGTTTTGTCACAGGCAACAAACAGCCCTGAAATCATGCCAACAGGTCAGAGGATCATGCGAAAAATAACAGTACACGGGCTTGCCCTTTCCTTCCCTAAAATGGGATTCTCTTCCTCAGACCTTGTACCACTTGGTGAAGAGCATTCCCCTAATTTCATCGTGGTTTTGAACTTGTTGGCAACACATTTATCTCCTTTCATTCCTCTTTGCGAGATAGATTCCTCACCTCCTCCCCCAGTCCTTGAGAGATCTGAGGAATGATCATCCTCTGGAGTAGGTGGGATAAGAAGTGTTGCCCTCTTCCGCCATCTTGTGGCAAAAAAGCAGAAGCACTAATCCAAGGTGTATTTTCCAGCCTCAATTGAAATACTTCCTTCCCAACTTTCTACTGATAGATTAGGTAAAGTTATCATTTGTATCTCCTTTTAATTTCAAGATTTAAGTTAGTAATTACTCCAAGAGTCATTCGTGCATGCGTTAAAAGGGGTTACGGGTAGGTAGAAAGATGAGAGTTGTGAGAGAAAGTCCTGCTGAGTTTTGTGGTCTGGTCAGAGCTGTCCAAAACAAACAAAAAAAATGAAAAAACAAAATACCCTGTACTCTAAAATAAATAATAATAGGATCATGCTTCCTAGTTCTGGTCAACAAAATAATAAATACTTGAATGTTTCCTGTAAACTTGAATACCTGCCCAAAGCAATGATATCCCTGATTTTTGCTAGGCTGCTGTTTAAAGATATGTCATGACTTTTGAATATGAGTATCATGGGACTAAGTTGCAGTTTTTCCACCATGAACATAACAATGTACACGTAGTAACCTCGGTTATTTTGCAAGTTTTTTCTTTTTTTTTCCTTTAAATGCTTGGGTTTCTCCCTCCTCCAAAGTCTAACTCTGTTGCCCATTAAAATGCATGCATTAGCTTGATAGAGCTGACATAACAAAATACCGCAAACTGGGTAGTTTAAACAACAAAAATTTATTTTCTCACAGTTCTGAAGGCCCGAAGTCCAAGAGCAAGGTGTCAGTGGGTTTGGTTTCTCCTGAGGCCTCTCTCCTTGGCTTACAGATAACCATCTTCTTTCTGTGTCTTCATGTGGTCTTTTTTCTGTGCATGCTTGTCCCTGTGTCTCTTCCTCTTCTTTTAAGGACACCAGTCCTGTTGTTACATTAGGGTCCCACCCTTACAACCTCATTTAACTTTAATTACCTCTTTAAAGGGCCTGTCTTCAAATACAATCAAATTGGGGCTTAGGACTTCAACACAATTCAATCCATAACAACACTTAAAACCATTTTTCATACTTTGATCCCAACCTGCTGTTCCAAATTCTCTTTCATAAAATGTCTATATTTAGTTTAATCTGCAGCTAAAGCAACAGTTATGATACTCCCTAAACCAGACGTTAAATGTCAGTTGTTCACGAGGGCCCAGCACATTAGAGCAAAACCGGTTAAATATTAGGAACCATGCCTTATCTCTATAAAGAAAGGTGCATTTTGCTATTTTTTCTTTCTTTTCGGAGATGGGGGTCTCGTTCTGTTATCCAGCCAGGAATGCACTGGCTCGATCATAGCTCACTACAACCTACAACTCCTTTGCTCAAGCTGTCCTCCCGCCTCAGCCTCCCAAGTAGCTGAGACTACAGGTGTACACCATTTTGCCCGGCTTTGCTATTTTTCTCAAAGCACACAAACTTCTGATATTATATTTTCAGTTTTGATAGAGACATGAACCAAGGCGTATTGAGCCCCTTTAAAAATTCTGCTATAAGAACAACCATAGCACAAACACATTCATAAATGCCACCTAACATGGAAATTAATGGGACCAGTGGGACTTCAGAGAACTGAAGAACACAAACTTGTACAATGAAGTTTCACCAATTTCTTTCTTATAGTGATACAGGCACAGGGACAATGAATCTTCCAATTTTTCAAGTAGATATGCATTTTAAAATGAAATATTCTAAATTTTTTATATTGGCAACTAATAAAAAATTATAACATGGTGCAGATTCAACAAAAAAAGGATCTGCTGACTTCATCAATCCCTTCATTTCATAGCTGAAGATCTCTGGACATTATCAAAGATTCCTGGGCCCATGAAAAGCTGTTCACCAAGCTACTCTCTCTGCCACTAAAGCCCAGATCAAATGCCCAGGCCTTCCCAGCTTTCTAAGTCCTCAACTGAAAAGAATCCATTGCTTACTTAGTCCCTCTGGGCAGAGCACTAGGTCTTACACATACAGGAAGTATTCAGGAGATATTTTCTGGTAGTTAAGTAAATGGATAAAGAAATTAAAAGAAAAATTTTAAATTCTGAGCTCACCAACAGCAATGAGATTAAAGTAGTGAATGGTGTTTGGAGTTGTTTATTGTGGATAGAATAATTATCTGAATAAATAAACTCATTCTTTTCTATGTAAGTTATATTTATCTTATTTTTTATTAATATTATTTTTAATTGACAAATCATAATTATACACATTTATGGAGCACAATGTGATGTTTTGATATATGTTTTTGGGGCTCAGAAAATGATACCCCAAAAGGAAGGCCACAGAAGCAGCTTCAGAAGCACAAAGTTTTTCTCTGACCTTCTGCCCTCCTGTCTCTCAGTCCCATTCTCCCCCAAGGCTACCCATAAAACTTGGATCTTTCTTCCCCAAGATGGATCACAGAAACTAGAACCTCTTTTCCCTTAAGCCAGCCATAAAACCTAAAAATATTATTCTTAACTTCCTCCCCCACCACCTTTCTGTGTAAATACTGGGTGTAAAGAAATTATCTGACCTACCCTGTTTGACTGTAGGTTATAAGCCCCCCAGGGTCCTGCCCCATACAGAGAAGGAAGGAATGCATGCTCAGAG